CTGGACATCGGAGCCACATTTGGATCATGTTCAGGCCCTTCTGAGCCAATCTGGGCCACACCTGAGCTATGTTTCAGGCCACATCAGACCACATGTGGATAGCAGCCAGGGTCTTGGCCGCCTCCCTGGGCTTCGGGAATAAGAAAGCTGGTTGTGCCCTCCTGCCTTCTGGGTTGGCCCTAAGACCCCCACTTGCTGGGACAACTTCTCGGCCAGGGTCGCATGCTTTGTTGATCTTGGCAGTGTGGTGGGCCGACGGCTGTCTGAACAGTGTGACTGTAGAGGCAGGCTTTGAGTTCTGGCCAGCCCCCCTCAATGGTTGTTGACCCTGGAAGGTGGCTTCCCCTCAATGGGCCTCAGTTTTCTTCTCTATAAAATGGGGAGAACCATAGTCCCAATCTTAGAAGGCTCTAGTGAGGGTGAAATGAGAGAGAACGGTTCCAGACACATGGGAGGTACTCAAACAATGTCACCTGCGGGTGATGTTGTCGTCACTGTTGTTACCTGGCCTCCAGGATGTTGGGCCTTATCACCGAAGGCCCTTCCTGCTTGGACAGCAACGGGACTGCCATTGTCTCCCTGACATCCCTGCAGCATCAGGTTCAGGACAGACAATAGGGGCCCTGTTCTCCAGACTCCAGGCCCTCCGAGCACACAAAGTCCCCTCCTAGCACACGAGGGGCCTTGCAGGAAAAGGCATTACCCAACTTCAGGGCCTAAACAGGCATAAGAACAGCTCACAGCCTGGAGAGGCAGCCCAGATGGAGTTTCTATCTACAAGACACAGGCTAGGCCAAGAGGGACCCAGCGGGGCCAGGATAAGACCCTGCACAAGGCGCTTATACCAGGGCCAGTGAGCACTTACCGTGCAGGGGCTGAGCTCTAGGCCCGGGGCTGCAGTCCCAACGCACCGCTGACCCCCAGCCACACTTAGTGGCCTGTGTCCCCAAACACCACATCGCATTCTTTTCCAAATCATATTAAATATAGGTGTGAACTCCCACTCGGCAAGGGAGATCCAGAAAATTGATCTCTGCCTGACCGGTGTGGTTCAGTGGTTAGAGTGTTGGCCCACACACCAAATGCAACCAATCAGCATGTCTCTCTCACCTCTCCCCCCCGCTTTCTCTCTCTTTCTTTCCCTTCCCCTCCCTCTCTCATTTCCACTCTCCCTAAAAATCAATGGAAAAAATATCCTCTAGGGAGGATTAACGAAAAAAAAAAAAAGGAAGTCGATCTCCATCTTGTCTGGGGTAGGTCTCTGCTGGTTCCCTGGAGTCATACAAGGATCTGTTGGGGGGCTTCTGAGGAGCCTGGAAGATGGGACAGAGCCTATGGTCTTGGGTCCCATCTGGAGCTAAAGAAGGGACCCTGTCCCAGACGGTGCGATCCTGAGCAGCTCCCACCCCAGTCAAGCAGGAGCACTTCCCCTAAACAGCCATGGCCATGGCTCCGGGGTCCAACCACCCACAACCTCTGGGGCTTCCCAGAGGTTAGTGGATAAATAACCCCACTTCCTCACCCCATGGGGCAGGGAACAACTCCACACCAGCTCCCACAATACCCCAGCGGGACGGAGCCCAAGGTGCCCTGGAATCACTTGCTTGACGGGCTGTCTCTTTCCCTTCCTTTCCCCCTCCCACTACCAGAGTCTCCTGAGATCACCTCCCAAATCAGCTACCTGCACACAAACCCTTCTGGGGAACCCAAACCAAGACAAGCACCTGCCCTGCTGAGGGTCTGACAGATCTTCATCTGCCCAGCCTTTCCCACAGCCCATAGCACCCCCACTTGACAAATGAGGAAACTGAGGCTCTGACTACATGACTAACAAGCAGCCCCTACACATCACCCCACAATGCCTCCTACTCTGTAACTTCATCACTCCCCCTCGGGTCTTCACCTCCCATAAAGGAGAAAGTGTCTTCTGTGCCGGCCTCCTTCCATCTGAGGCCTGAAACACTGTGGGGCGCGGTTACGGTGTTTTGGCCGGGTTCAAACCTCGGACTAATGAAAGGACAGGGTCCTCTGATTGCCACGTGCAAGTCCCAGCTGGAGGGCAGGGCCCTCCCAGCACAATTATAGCCAACGGCTGTGGTTGTAAGCTTGAACCTATGGTCCAAACACGTAGCCCCACGTGCCTTGTGATAGAGTTCGGGTGCATGTAGTTAAGTGAGGTTGAAACTCACAAGAATGCTGTAAGCAACGTGATCACGCCCCTACTTTGCCCCGTGGCATCTGCTATAAAATAAAGACACGGCTGGTGGGCTCTGTTGTTGTCTCCTCATCAGGGAGGCAGCGTCCCACCGAGACCCAGCTATTATTCTCTTGTCTGTCTTTCCTTAATCCTTTCACCCGCCCCCCACCACTCGGGATCACCCTTGGTCATGCTGGCATGGCACAAAACACAACCACCATCCATGCACCCCTGAGGTAGGAACCCCCAGATCAGAACTCTCAGACCCTACGACCTTCCTGGGCTGGGGAGGGAAACGTCTTCTGCTTCTCTGAGTCTTATTAGCCACAGAAGATTTAAAAAAACACCAAGTGATATCTCCACAGCCTCTCCTGCCTAGCAGGAGTCATTATTGTCTTTGTCTCACAGATGAGCGATCAAGTAACACAGGGCCAGTGAAATGACAGGAACCCGAGCCTCACCCACGTGCCCATTTCCCCCAGGAATCTCCTTTCAGCAGAGATTAGTCAGTGAGGTAAAGCAGACGGATTCCATGAGGCTCCAACCAAATTCTTCCCTCCTGTCCCTTTAGAGAGGCCAGATTTTGGAAGGGGAGGGAAGGGAGACAGCAGTTAATGAAGGCATCCATGGTGACAGAGCCAGCTGAGCACATTCGCAGTGGTGGTGCCAGGATACTCACATAAGAGGACCTTTGATAGCAGTTT